GGGTAGCTACCTTAAATAATTCCTCGTTGTAAAATTTAAGTGTAGGATTTGAATGTGTATTCAGGCCCCCCAAAATTTTTGAACCAGGCCCCGCAGAAGGTCACGCCGGCCCTGTTTTTATCTGTATGAACAGAAGTTACGTAACGTTTAAATAAAACATCGCTTTGCGTGTGGGTATATTCCGATTATTTAATTGTATGTATATGTATAGTAAATGTAAAGTTGTATTTCACGTATGCGAAGAATGGTTTTTGCTTTTTTACGTAGAATTGTAATTTGTGAGATATATTGAAAAAAGAAAAAGTGCACATTGAAAACGTCAACATCCTGTTTGTCGCAAAGTAGAACATGCACAAGCTGTAACAGAATTACAAAGTGTGCTCACTAATTGTTATTTAGTATCCTAAATGCGGCTATTTCCGAAATGGTAAATCTAAGAAGGTATCATAAGGATAAAGCAATTTCAACACAATTTCGAAAACAAACTTTGTAACACGTCATATTGGAATCATCTGTAAGTCTGTTATCACGGTAATCAAATTTTTTATTGGTCCTGTTTTTATTAGTTTTTATTCAGTTTATAGATCACATATAATTATTTTAGAAAACTTTTAAGGATATAATAAAAAATTCAAGTTTTGCATATTGAGTCTCAAAGACATGACTTTTTGAAATAAAATTATGCATTTTTAAGTAGATTTTACAGATTTTTATAGTTTTTAATATTACAGTAAATATTCGTAAGAAACGGCACCTTCTGACCAGATTTAAAGAACATAGAAATGACATCAAAAAAGACGAAAGCTGTCACTCTGTGGGTAGTAAACACCGTGTATTACATGATCTCGTGTTCAATTGGTTGAAACCAAGAATTTTGCATGGCGAGCGTCTCGGGAGAAAAAGAGAAATTGTCGAAATGTTTTTCATCAAGAAGACCGATAATACGTTTAATTTACAAACAGACACCGAATATTTAAATGTAATTTATGAGTGTGTAACCAAAACTGTATAGTCCGCAATATCACCTTGTATTGTTCCTAAGACATGACTAACAAATCAGTTCGAGCCCAGTAACCATAGTGCTCACACGTATGCCTGTATTTTATAATTCGACTCTTATGTGACGACAATGATTGAAACATTGGAAAAGTTGATTAAAGTTACGTTAGGGTTTTTAATTGAGATGTAGATATTGCTAGACCTGCGAAGATAGTTCGTATACAGAGTGATATAATTATATGAGTTTTAGTATATGTAATATAATGCAATGCAACCAAGATGATTTTACGCGTAAAAGTAAGAGTTAAAAATGTAGAACGTAGTTTTTGCATCACGAAAAAGTTATTTGGCAAATTGTAAAGTTACTAACACATTTACGTCCGCACTTGATGAAAAATGATGGACTCTAAATCTTATACCTGTCCTCCCATCTAACTGTAAGCATGTACTTTACGGTACATATACGATTCCACATGGATTTGCAACTTTCTACGTGAAGCAAGATCCACTCCACACCTCAGACATGGTTTGGGTAAGGTGATATCTTAACGAAGTGTGGTCCCCCGAAGGGGGGCGGAGGAGGAACATACTGTCTCCACGCATGTACTTCCACCATTGTACTGTTCCACTTGGGTTTCGACTTTCCACGTGAAGCGAGATCCACTCCACACCTTACACGGTTTGGGAAAGGTTTGATCTATTGATTATGAAGGGAAGGTTATAAAGCTGAGGTGGAGACCTTGACAAAATATGTCAAGGTCAAGGTCATTTGCGGTGGCTGATACCTAATCTAAATATTTACCATATTATACTGTAAAGCTGTTTATTTCATAAAAATGGAGCCTTCTCCAATTTCTTTTAATAAGTAAAAAAAATTCAGATCTCTTTCTACAGAAAGTGTGATCTTTTTCGCTCTGTGGGAAGAGCTGATTTAAAACGATGTCTGGATTACATAGCAGGTTAGGGTCACCTTGACCCTATCTTGAAATATGTTATTGCGTATGTTTCGTCACATTTAAGATAACTCGCAATTTACATTGCAGATCAAAATCAGATTGCACTTTATATAACATCATCGGTTGTATAACTTCCATAATGCGAAAAAATCAGTCTATAACTAATTGTAAGATAAAGTCGTTCGGTTTGCGACACAGTATAGTAACATATGTAGTTATTGAAAATATAAGACGAATCTAATGGTGTCAGATTCTCACGATGTCAAGATCAAGAAACAATATACCGACAATCCAAATGCTCAATCTGAAATATCCCAGAGTTATTCCATGAAACTGAAGAGCTGCAAAAGTGTTAAGAAAAATATCAAAATTCGTCAAATTTTTAAGTATCTGAATGATATGTCGTACACACAGTCATTCTTTCAAGACTTTTCAAGATTATTCTTCACAAAGACGGAACTCAGAAAAGTCGTGGAACGTCCAAGTTTTTTAAATAAACTATAATGTCGTGAATCAAGACCGATATGTATCCTACAATTAAATTAGAAAAGGCCATCTTTGAGTAGAATCTTTATTTGTATTAAATTTGTTTGCATTATATTTTTATTAAATAAATATTAAAAATTTGTCTACTCATATTATTATTTCTTTTATTTCTTTCGATAAAATTTTATGTTTGATGGTTTGGATATAACATCTTAATATAAAAAATAATAAAGTATCTAGTTTGTGTAAATATTCATTTTAATTGGCGCCATTTGATGATATCATTACTTTTGTAAAGAAGATACTTTTGTAAAAAAGATAAAAATGTTTTTTTCTAATAAAATATAATATCCAAATAATTCAATTATATGTATAATGCTTGATTGGATAGCGCTTATACTTGACGTCTTTTTTTTACCTTTTTAAAAAAAGTTATTTTTTAAGGTGATATAAATTTTGTAGTGAATAATTTATAATATTTGTTACAATCCTAACTGATATTTCCCCATACAGCACCGAAGCTTTCAGAAACATTTCAGAAACATTGCAACATTGCAACAATTTTTTCTGAATTGTTTCTGAAAGCTTTGGAGCTGTATGGGTCGTACATCCCTAGAATGTGAAAATATATTTGTGTGTACGTAGGTATGTATACATATGTGTCTGATAATAGTTTTAATGTAAGCAAAATAACTCAAGAATTCTATTAGAAGTTACAAAACCTCAAGCAGGTATACAATACATATAAAATCATTTTTAAACTCAACAAACTTATTTTTATAGCATAAAAAGATCTGAGTAGTTGCAATATAATTGTGCAGAGTATCTAAAAAGCGGAATTGATGTACTAGAGATACGGCCTAATATATTTCTTCTGAAGTATCTTTATAAATTCGGTTTACGCGCGCTCGATGCGCGTAACGTCGGAACTTCGGAAAAAGGTAACGTCAGTCACGTTAGCTGCGCCAAACGTCAGTCCCGTGAGCAATACCAATGCCACGTTGCGACAGAAATGTGAAATGGACATTGGTCTGGTCGACCGGGACGACGTGACTAACATCGGATTTTGACACATTCATCTTTGCATTGCAATATTTCGACTTATGGGACACGTAGGAGAAAAATAAAAACAATTCAATTATGCAAATCAAACCCAAGCGATCGATTAAGCGCACTTGGGCTGCGTTCGGGGAGACGCTATTTAGCGCTATGAGCGTGCTCTGTCCTTGTTCAACTTTTGCAAGTAACAAGGACAGAGCACGCTCATAGCGCTAAATAGCATCTCCCCGAACGCAGCCTTAGAAGTTCATCGGGTCAGCCGTTGTTGAGATCCGAAAATTTGAGGGCCTGTCAATTCGCATACTCGCGTAAACTACACGGTCGGTCTCACGAGCGCGTTCTAGCTACGCTTATATAATACTTGGCGCGAGACACTACCGTGTCTCGTGATTCACTTAATTTGATAAACGTGATGTTTTCCGAAATGAACCGCTACGCGACGGTATCCAGGCAGTCCACCAGGATACCGGGTGTCTTGAAACAGTTGTAACGATATAAATCAATAAGACTTTTAAAGGCGCACTCTGTATATTTTTCTACTGTACTCTGTAGACAATGCAAGACTCTTTTTTTATAGTGTAGACTGAAAACTTTTTTAAATTCCTTGATAATATTACTAGGATTTTATTCTTATACCAAGTAGAGTTACGACGAAAAACAGCATTATCCATCCTAATGATATTAAAACGCCAATATAAACTTCAGAATCAGATATGGAAGATCCTTTGAAAATAATTCCTCTCACAGATATGCAGGGAAATGTAGTTGGCGATAGGCAACTAATCCAGTAAAGCACTTTCGGCATTCCCTCCAATGGCCAAAACATTCCTACAATTTTGTCAAATTTGTATATTAATAAAACTTTCATTAACGTAATAAAATAAATCTGCGCTGTATATTGTTGTTGTTAATGTTGTTGACTATACATATTGCTGTTGACATTTTCTTTTTGTAAAATTTTCTGTATTACTATTTACTAGGCGAACTGTTTATATATCGTTACGTACTGAAGAACTTTAATTTTAGAATTAACTTAATAAATAAATTCAAGTAAGAACTATAATTTTTGAGAAACAGAAAGATTAAAATCTCACCATTCATTAGTATCATCGGCAAGAAACTTCCGGCTGAAGCAAAGTATACCGCATACATATTTGTGCAAAACACAGAGATAATGAAACCTAAAAATACATATTTTCTTAAGTTTTAACGACCTACACTGGCTATAGTGATTTTTGTTGACCGTATCAGGCTATTAAAATTTTTATTGCGAAAAATATTACCCCAGCCAGGATTCGAACCTGGGACCTCCCTACAATCCGTGACGGGCGTCTTAGCCAGCTCGACCACCGGGGCTGTGATAATACTATTCGCAATAACAAGTATATAATTTTAAGATGTTATTTACGCGTGTATTTCGACTTTTCAGAAACTGTGCGCCGATACGGATTGTT